TTATTTACTTTCCGTTCTTGGGTTTCTTGGGGTTGGATACTACAGATTGTGATTCAACTCTATCAACATACCCCCAAAGCCTTTTCCTTCTACAAAAAATTGAAAATGATAATACCAATCGGGATAGTTTTTGCCATCAAGTTTTATAGCCAACGTATCTCCCTTTTCAATGTCCATGTCCAATTTATGTGAGCTCCCTCAATCATGATCAAAATCGATCTGAGATCAAAACTCAGACTTGGGAATTATCAGCCGAAAAATGCTTATGGATTGCCTGAAATTAACCCACAAGAGGTCATTTTTGAGACTCAAAAAGAGATCAACCAAAAATCAGCCAACAAGAGATCCCCAAAAGGCTACCTGAATACCACCTTGTTTTTGTGGTGGTTTTGGCGAGGAAAGACATTGTGTTTTGGACAGAAAGACTTGATCTCTCAAAACTTTGGCTTCAATACCATGTAAATACTCAAGAGGCAAAAGGTAAACTTGTGTGCTCCATTCACTGTTATCAACACACACACACACACATACATACATACATATATACAAAACGAGGGTAACTTGCATAGCAAGATAGGCCACATAAACTTGCATAGCAAGACTGAGTACAAAGTGTAATACACCACCTCACCTTCTATAATATTCTGTGATGGACCTACCATATATGATATGATACACTACACTCTTTATATACGATATGACACACTATACATAATAAATGATCTTCAACAATCTCTACACAAATTATATATTATTAGTGAGACATTCTCTTTCCATTGATGAGACTCAGTTTTTATACTTGTCTGGATTTTTAATGTTATGAACTGCACCTTTTTTGTAAGATGATCCTATTGCCTAGAAAGACATGAAGTCCTCCAACTTACCTTGCAAACGAAGTTGTCCCCAGGAGTACACTTGATTTCAGTTTTTTTTCATGTACCAGCTTTGAACCATCTGTATTGCTCTTTTTGGACCGTGATGTTATGTTTGTTGCCGACATGTATTTTACCCAGGGAACTGCATGAATTCTTTTATTAAAATGACAATGAATCTTCTATCTAAATGACTGTGAATGCCACAGCTTGTTCTTAGTATGTTAATGTTGATGAACTCCTCACCCTTTATAGAATGGAATTTTGATAATTATTGTCTCTTTTGGGTAGAAAATCTGTGCCCATCAGCCTATGCAGTAATGTTCACTGATTCAAATCCATATGGTCTTGCTTTTTATAATATCTTTAGCTGATTTGCTCGAATGGAATTTATTAAGGAGAGGGCCACACTGTGATGCCTACCGTTTGAACTATACTGCTTGCTTGGTCCATGAATGTCATGAGTGCCATCAACTTCTATTTCTCATCCTCCATTTCATTTGGCTAAATTGGATGAAGATCTGTCAGAGGTCCTCATGCCTTTTATTAGGTATTTGCTTTATGTCCCGGTCACATCCAATGGTTTGAGCATGCCGTAAATTAGAAGCATTTACTTGCAGATCGGTTCTAAGGGTGGCCTTCGGGCCTACCCGATAAGTGAAGTGATTAGATTATAACACCAGAACTCTTTGTTTCCTTCTAAGAGGATATAGTCATGAATGCAATCTCAATCAAATGCCCAACTTGTGCACCTGATATGAAGAAGTGCATCTTTCTCTTCTGAATAACAATATATTCTAGCATATATTAGAATCTAGAAACAAAGCCTTTGCCTTTTTCTTTTGATTTGGAAAGAAGGACCAAAGCTCTCACCTCTTTGCAATGCTTCCTGTAAGCTAGGAAGAGATACTCAGTTCACGTTCGCATAGGAGCAATGCTCTAATGTGTTGCTTGAGTATCAAATGAAGATTACAAAACTATTAGAAAAGTGATAGTAATAGTCAAGATCAACTTTGAGCATGCCATCCTGATGAATCTTGCCTTACTGTACCTCAGGCGGAAGAGCATTAGCCACTGCGGCGATGCATCAGGATTGCATTGTACTGATCAGAATGAGTTGCTGAGCTTTGGTAGCTAAAGCTTTTACTCTGGACGAGCGTGTGTCGAGCAAGGGTGAGAAAACTCTGATGCAACTAGTTGGTGTTAGAACTCCTACTTCAATATGAAGGGTTCAATACAAAGGGCGAGATTTCAATTTTATAGGGTATATTATATTTTATAGTATGGGATTGACTAAGGCATGAAACGAGTGCATCTGAAAAACAATTTGGTTCTATGTCAAGAAGGTCAACAACTGAGGCTATTTTCCTACTTAGGCAACTGATTGAGAAGTTTAGGGCGAAGAAA